GACTGTCATAGAAAGGAAAAGTGTCTTCAGTCGGAGGCTTCTTCAATTTCGCTGTAATACAGACCGCTACAGAAGATCTTTCCTGCCCACAGCCATCAGCATCTACAATAAGTTTTTAGTTAAATGAGTTACGACAATACCTAATTTCCCTCTGGGATCAAAGTATTTTTGAATTGAATTGAATATTTTTTTAATTCTAAGTGTTCTATTGTTATATTGTCACATTAGAGTGTTACCTTGAAGTAAAAACTTAGATGACCTTTGAGATGAGCAGGTTTGAGTATTTGCCACCTCTTCTTCCTGTACTAATTTCCCAGAATGCTGTTGTGAAATTTAGACCTTACAGTGAACATAAACACAAATTAAAAAATGGATTTATGTTTAAAGTGCTTTTTTTGTGTGTTAAATTGAAATGTAAGCTCAGCATTGTGTAAAATGTGTGTGCTGTCTGTGTAAGAGCTTTTGTCTTTTTAGTTTTTAAAACAGCAAATTTTCCAAACACAGCCTTATCTTGAAATCTCTGTTTCTCACCCTAAGTAAGTAAACATTTACTTAGCTTCGGTAATTTTGAGTTAGTTCCTTTAGGAGATAGTTATCTTTCTCCCGCATAGGATAAGTATGAAATACACAGCTAGGATTTTATGTTTTGAGTAACGCGTCTCACAGCTGTCTGATTGTAGAGATTTTTGTGGTTGTCTGCCAGCTGTATACATTCAGATTTTTTTTTTGTTTATTTTAAATAAACTGTAGTACACGAAGATGCCATGTCGGCAGAAAAGTTGTAGAGCAGAAGAGATGAGGGTGTAACTGACGGGGGACAAAAAATCTAAACAAGTGATGTTGGATTGATAAGGTACAAAATGAACATTTTCTCACAGTTCAAAAATGACCTTTTTATTACACAAAAAATGCAGAAATTTAGAGACAATTTGCCACATTCAATCTCGTTTTACAGGCTGCAAAAAATGAAAAAAAAAAAAAACTAATTTAGTTCAATATTTAAAACTTAGACAAGTGTGCTAAACATTCTTTGGTTTTTCCATTTAAAAAAAGATCAGAGTAAGGGAACCATGTTTTTTTTTATTTTTAAAACTTAAAAGCAGAGTTGTAAAGTAACTAAGTACAAATACTTTGTTACTGTACTTAAGTAGAATTTTTGGGTATCTGTACTTGAGTAATTATTTTTCACCTTTTTACTTTTACTCATTTCCTTTTTACACAAAAATCTGTACTTTCTACTCACTACATTTTAAAAAAAGTTATGAAGTAGAAAGTAGTTTCTCCTGTTTTATGCTGAGTTGTTATTACTTAAAACATACTATCCTGATAAAATGTGCCTCCTTCATAGAGTGAATTTAATTGTGGTTGGATGAGAAGTATAAATATACACCATTCCGACACCCTATTAGCTTGTACACAACCCATCACAGCTGCACGCTGTTAGAAAATATATTTTTTGAGAAGTCACCTCCCAATAAATGTCATTTTGGAAAATCTAACTGCTCACTTTTACTCAATACTTTTAATACTTAATAGAGTTTCTGTCAGAAATTTACTTTTGATACTTAAGTACAAAAAATAGCTACTTTAAGACTTTTACTCAAGTAATATTTTTAGAGAAGACTAATTTTTACCAAAGTATTTTTATAAGATACTTGTACTTTTACTCAAGTATCACTTTGAGGTACTTTATACAACACTGCTTAAAGTAAAACTGTAAACTGAACTAAATAAAAATCCACAGTGTTTGATTTCTTCTTCAGCTATCTAGATCCCAAATGAAATATGGTGGTTGTTTTAATATGTAACGATACTGGAAATGACTGAAGTCACCAAATAAATACAGTTTATAGCAGCTGGAGAAAACTTAAAAGCAAAAAAAAAAAAAAAAAAAAAAAAACCATTCCTAAAATTATTGCGGTACTCATAGTACTGCATAACTTGGGACTATTAAAGCAAATTTGTCCACAGTAATATGCCGTCAATGAGACGTGTCAAAGTGACTTCTTTTAAATAAGAAACAAATCCATGGAGAGAAGAGAAAATGCTCCAGGAGTTCAAACCATCATTTACGGTTCTGCCAGAAAGTCCCAAATATAGTGCATTAACACTATAAAGCTTGTCTTTACTTTAATGATTAAAATAAAATTAAAT